GATTTAATTATTATTGATTTAATTGTTCCTACCCATCCAAACAGTCAGCCAATTGACTTAAGTGGTTCAATTATATATGATTTAAGAGATGAAGAATGTCCTAATATCAAAACTCCTGTTCTTGCTCTAACTCAATTTGATACTGTCGCTATTGAAAATTTTGAAGAATTAAATAGTAATAATATTACTGTTATAACTTTTTCTATTGAAAAAGCTGATTGGAAAAAAACACTTATACAACGTTTACGAGATAATTTACCAACCCCAAAATATGATTTTGTCATTGTATGTGCTTTGTCTAAAGAAACAGACGCATATAAAAATATTGGACTAAATATATCTGAACCTAAATCAATTCAAGGTTTAGATACTATCACTATTAATCTTGAAAACAATAAGGGATTGGTGATTACATGTCCTAGAATGGGATTAGTTGATGCAGCAATTACTTCTGCTATGGCATTACAAATTTTTAAACCGAAGTTAATTGCAATGAGTGGAATCTGTGCTGGAATAGAAGGCAAGGCTGAAATTTATGATATTACAATTCCTGAACTATGTTATCAGCATGACTCGGGTAAATGGTCAATAGATGGTTTTACACCTGAATCATATTCAATCCAGCTTGATCATGCCGTAAAGTTAAAAATAAAAGATCTAATTTCTCAGGATCATTTTATTAAAACTATTTTTAATGGAATTTCACCTAAAAGATCTGAAATACCCGAGCATTCAGAACAAATAAGTACAAGAATTACCTTAGGAACTTTATCTAGTGGTAGTGCTGTTGTAGCTGATAAAGACATCAACACAGTTATTAGCAATCAACACAGAAGAATTTCAGCATTTGAGATGGAATCGTATGCACTTTATGAAGCAGCTAGGTTAGCGGATTTTAAACCTATGTTTTTTAGTGCTAAAGCAGTAGTAGATAATGGTACACCTGGTAAAAATGATGATTTCCATAGGATTGCATGTTTAATATCTGCAAAAACTACTATCGAAATTATAAAAGGATTGCTTAACTAAAATTTACTAAATGGCTCTAAAATTTAGGGCCATTTAGTTATTCATATAATTTATTAAGCATCTAAAATAAATATATTTTATTGTTTAATTTATACGGTAAAATGAATTACGTATTGATGATTG